TTTTTTTTTTTTTTTTTTTAATACAAGAACAAAGTTTTGTTAATGTGTGAATGTTTAGCTCATATCGTTATCAATTATAACAATTAAAAACATCTCTGAAAGCAATGCAAAATTTAATCAGTGTGTGGTTTCAAACATCTCACAGATGTGCAACTGGTATGAAAAAGAAAAGGAGGGGAACATGAAAGGACTTTTTAAGCCTACACTAATAACATAATAGCTCAAAACAGCCGCATGAAAGACTTGAGATGTTGGTGTACTTTGTGCTGTTATTGTGTTTCCTGTTCACAAGTTCATGCAACAGATGCCAAAGAAAACTCTGGCAGCGTGGCCCCCCTCTGACCCCCTGGGTGAGAATTACACTGTGCCAGAGTGCAAAGCTCTAGAGGACACAATATCCAACGCATACAAATGTGCTCTTGTTTTGTCATTTAATATAGAACACGTACTGTTAGACACAAACGCGATCAGGATGAGAAAGGGTGTTCTTTGGTTTGCTCAAATATCGAGACTGTAATCACAATAAATTTTACGAGTGTCAGTGGTCTTTCTTCCAGATGCTCAGAATTTAGAAGAATATCTTGACTGGGTTACATTAAAATGGCCTGCCCTTTCAAAAGTCTAATTGAATTCATTCAAGCATGGGAAATTGCGTAGTAAAGGCAAATTAACTAACCTCACATCTGAGGTTGTTTTCCCACTAAATCTAAGAATGTACATCAATGCCCAGTATTTATGTCTTATGAATAAAAAAAATTAAGCACATAAAGTGTCAGTCATGCATATGTGTAAAACATATATATGCCTTTTGAACAACTGACACTGACCTCAAAATGCTCAGTTTTAGACACATTGCTCATTGCCTTGGAATCTTCAGCAAAAGCCAAACATTGAACAACACTGACCTCTTCTGGCTATTCCTCATACTGCCACAAAGAGATAGTCAGCATTTACTGTAACTGGAACTAAAAAGACCAAGATGTATATATAAAAATTACAGCTAAAATTAATGCATCACAACAGAGATCACATCCTTAAATAAAATACCTGCCACATGGCAGGATTCAGCAAGACGGCATCTGTGGTTCACATTATGATCATCCAGAACACAAACACCCCACTAGTTTTACTCAATAAACACTTTGTGTATTAATCCAGATTACATATTCATAATATCATCTGTCATTTGTTTAATTTTTTCCAGAAATAAACCTACAGTATTTAATATACCATATATCTATATACATAATCTATGAAAGGGATAATGCATAGAAAATAGTAAATTTAAAAGGTACAAAATCAGATTAGCAACAAACTGAACACTACAATATAACAGTGATATTACTGGGGTCATTTTTACTAATATCGATAATTGAGATGCAAGAAGGTGCCAGTTGCATTTGCAAGAAACAAGTGGGAGTGAGTCCGCAGTGTGATAAAGAGATATGAAAATAATGCCAGTGTGTAGGCCCTAAGTGTTAAATGTCCAAATATTTAACTAATTCAAAGAGTGAAGTAATTGAGTTCAATCTTTTGTTTTCTATTGTTATTATGTCCGATTTGTTTTATTATGGACGGCAGTATACAGTAATCAATACTGTACATTTTTTTAAATAAAATAATTTTTGTGTTTTAGTATAACTATGAACTGATAGTTGATGGAGACCCAATTTCGAGAGCATTTTTACTACTTTGATTATCAAAATAATATGCAGCAATATATGAATGTTGTGATTGACAAATTAGAAAAGTGTATTCCAGACAGCAACGTAATAAATAAACAATCTATACAGCTCTAAATACATCTACGTATATAATCATAGATTACGGAAGACCATAGAAACTGTATTAAAGATACTATTTTATGCTCAAGGAAATAAAGTAGAGAGCTTAGTATTGAGCTTCAATTGCTAAACTGCCAGGCACTTTCTGTTTTTCAGGGAAGCGAGTCACCGACAGGGCTAGTTATTGTGCAACTTGAGAATAAACACCCTTTTTTTTTTTTATACTAGACACCACATTTACTTCTGAGATGTGACACACACAGCTGAGAGAGTTCTGAGACAGTAGTTCGTATTTAAATGGCATGACCAACACAGTCTTGGATGTAATCATTCCCCACATGTGATTCCAACGGCACTTTGCTTGTCAACGGAAAAGATGCATGGGTCCACTTGACTGTTGTGTTGTAAATCCCAGACTGAGGGAAAATGGCGCTTAAATGTGTAGCTGTATTTCAAACTGTGATTACATCTGTTGTGATTAATGGACTACCAATAGTAATAGTGTTGTTTGGAAAATCACCGACACATGTGCAGTTGGTACCTGCATTTCCATCCGTTCTGCATCGCGGCCCCTCACTGTCAGCGATGCACAGATGAACTTCTCCAGAGATCTCGGTTGTGCTTTAGGCAGTAAACTGTAGCTGCAAATACTTTTTTTGTATCATTATCTCCATTTATGTTGAAGCACTCAATGACGTACTAAGAGCCTCAGTTGTTGGGATTGTACCGAGGTGATGCTGGTTTCCTCATCAGCTGTCTGCGATGCTGTAGATACAGTCTCTGGTGCCACAGAAGGAGTAAACTCTTTGTTTGAACTAACAGGAACTTCTGGCTTGCCTGTAATCCCCTCGGGTGAATGTGCAGTCACATTAGCTTCTTGTGGGTCATCACGCATTAAATGGAGGTGCGATTTTAACATCTCTGAAAAACAATCGTAGCAACTTGAACTTCTGAATACTTGATTAAGGACAGTTAAAGACTAACTAACTTGAACATGGTTAAGTGTTTCATGGTCCTGTGCAATTTGGGTTTTTAGAGAAAAAAAGCACCTTGAAATGACTCAGGAACTTTTTGAGCAGACTTACTAACCTGAACAAGGTGAGGTGTTTTCCATGGTCCAGTGCATTTTGTGATTTGTCTCTTTAAATGTGAGAACAGCATCTATCTTGTAGAAATTTTGCTGAAGTTCCTCACCTGCCTGACCAATGCACTCCTAAAAAACAGAATAAATATATAAAAAATGGATGGCATATTTGAACCAATTACCAGATTTTACCCAATTAGAAATGATTATATATATATATATTAAAATAAAATGAAATCAAAATGCAAAAATCCTAATTTCAAAGCTCTAAAATGCAAAACTATTTTTATATGAAATTGTTTTATATTAGAAAATATTTGTAATAAAATGTAAAAAAAAAAAAAAGCTATTTGTATTCAGATAAATTGAAGACACTAAAATCACTGTTCTCTATTTTAATATATTTTACAATGTCATTTATTTCTGTGCTTGCAAAGCTGAATTTTCAGCATCATTACTCCATCATTACTTTCTTCAGTGTCACATTATTATAATTTGCTGATTTGGTGCTCAAGAAACATTTCTTCTCATTGTCAATGTTAAAACTGTTTTCTCTGATGAAAAGAAAGATTAAAAGGACTGCATTTATTTGAAATAAATATAATATTGTAACAATTTAAATACCTTTACTGTCATTTTTGATCAATTTAAGGCAACATTGCTGAAGAAAAATATTGGTTTCTCTCAAACAATCCTTTGAACGGTAGTGTATATAAAATTATAGACTTCTAACCTTTTTCTGTTGAATGTGGGATGTGTGAATGATAAGCTGCACAAAGTCACTTGTCTCTGACCAGGTGAATGTGTCAGTCTGTTCCACAATCACACTGCTGACTGACAGGGTCTCATTTTGATATCCACCTCTTTTGGTCAAACCCATACGCCGTTTATAGACATGCAGCACCGTGTCTTCAGATGATGACTGGTTCACTGAAAGAAACATGCAGAATGGCTATTAAATATGTAAGTGATAAAACCTTGCAAAATAAGCAAGATATGTGCCATGATATGACCATAATAACAAACCGTTTGGGCAGGTCGCCTCCATGCTGTAGGCATAATGGCCACTGACCAGTTTGAGAGGTAAGAAATGTCCTTCCGATTTGAACACCTAAAAGATATGTAGACTTTTAATGAAAATCAACCTGCTGCTGCTGCACTGTTTAAAGCACACAATGAATTAAATAAGTGGTTCAGAGGTCATTTTTCAGTCAGTTTGGATACTTTTAACTCAACATAAGCAAAAATACTCCTGACATTGAAAATAATGAATTGCCCCTTTTCCTTTTTTGGAATACCTGCTAAGCAAGATTTTTCTCTCAGAAATTAATACTTTTATTCAGTGAGGATGCAGTAAATTGATAAAAAAAAAGTGACATTAAAAATACTGATTGTTTAAAAAATATATTCAAATAAATGCTGTTTTATTTAACATATCACACAGAATGATTTTATATTCTTCAAATAGCCTTATAAAGATAAAAAGTGATATATATATAAAAATTCAACTCCGAGGGAGTTTTTGCTCTATTGATAAACTATTACAAATCCTCCCAGCCACAAACTGGCACAGTCTTACCTGCACAAGACTTAAGATGGTGTCTCTCCTCCCCTGAACTGTTATGTTTGGTTTGTGCATTTCAACATTTACTTGAATAAGACTGGAATCCTCCAAAGCCACCACCAGACTCCCACTCAAGGCCAGAGACCAGTCCAGCTGAATATAAAAATCACATCAGAAATATTCCACATTAGATACATTCATCTCTTCATAACCTCACATATCAAAACATTTATTAGAAATTACCTCGTTATTCCAGTTATCCACAGGGATCTCTCTGGTAACCTTGAACACACACAAAAAAGTGAAAGGAAAAAAAAAGAACAAGCAAAAAAAGAATGATCACATCACTCTATTCTTACCTGAATGAAGTCTGAATCACACTGGATGTACTCTCTGTTAGGAGGCGCTAACACCGCTGGACACTTCATCAGAAACTTTTGAGTCCTGCCTCCTAAACGACTTACTCTCTTCAGCAGGTTCAGCACAATCACATAATTGCCATGCTGAAAAAAATCACTATAAAATGTTATTCTGAGAAGCAGTGATAAAAAGGGACAGATTCTTACCAGCAACACACTGCAGAAGCGAATATGTTTCAGTGACAAACGAGGACATTTTCTAACCTCTAACTGGACAAAACATCCACTGTACATGACTCTAAAGATATAGTTCTTTTCCAGATCTCTGTGCAGGGCAAACCCACATGAAGAAAGCTGATGGTTCAGATTCTCCATGGACACCAAACCCACTGAAAAGAGCAAAAGATTTAGATTTAAAGATTTAACTAATACACAGAACACATTTTGGAATACATACATAATGCATAGAAAAATGAACTTTTTTATTATCATTATTATTATTGCTGTTTAAAATAGTGGTCATGCTCACACCTTACACTGTCTGTCTTACTGTGTGACATACGGACTTCTTAAAGTAATACGATTAATATATTAACCGTCTTTAATATTATTAAGAAAGTTTTAGTTAATATTTAAGATTATGTGTTTCTTATATAGTATAATTACATTAATATATTTCGTATACTATTATTTTAAAATATTTTAGAATATTTCAAGTTATTATTTTGTGCAACAGTTTGAGAACACGTTATTATTTCTGGTATAAAAAGTATTTGTTTGTTTGCCAACAAAGTCCACTTTTGTGGCCAAAAAGATGTTTAATATGCATTTTTAATCAAACTGATGGTGCGCTATCTTTATTAAAAACTATTTCTATAATATCAGCAGAATAACAATATTTCCTGAAAGGAATAACATCACTACAACCCAATAAGATGTGTTTTACAGACATTACATTCTGACAAAGTACATAAAGCGGGATCTTAACCAAATAATAAAGAATAATCTGTCAGTCTTGAGTGTCTTATCCTACATTTAGTATAAATGACATATTATATCAAAATGTAAAATATGTAATGTGGATACTGTATTTTTTTTCCAAAAAGCATTTATTTTACAGGTGAAAATTTGTTCATGGCAACCCATAGATCTGTTTGTTTTCCTCTCTTGTGTTAAGTTCAGAAATTCAGTGTCCATATAGCTCACCTTGAATTCGTAATAATCCAGAAAGCCAAAGCCTCAGTCCCTCAATTCTCATTCTATGGATCCAAAGCTCCATGTACTCAGAGAAACATTCCACATCACCCTCTAGAAAAGTAAAACTCAGCCAGTTTTAATTCTTTTGCTACAGCGTAAATAGTAACTAAAATAGTAGTAAAGTAATAATTACCTGTCATGCTTGAAGATTGACTGCCCACCCAGTCTCTCTTCTGAAGTCGCAAAACATTTCCCCATATGGGCAAGATGAAGTGTCTATGTGAAGCAAAAGGAAAACAATAATAATTTTAGCAATATTACAGGAGAAAATACTAAACGCATAAGCATATAGCTACTTACAATGAAATAAGTAAAACACTTGTGAGCATCAGCGCCATGGCTCATTTGGTTCTTGTGCACAGAGGGGTGATACAAGTGCTTTTATACTGCTAACAAGTCAGCTGTGTTTGGCCTTGTAGGTTACGAGTGTGAGAGCAAGGCTGACCCACTTCATTATAAAATGATACAACACGTACAAGTGTGAAAAAAGCGATGAAAGGAGGGAAACCTGCACCTGCATGGCAATAAAAATCTCTCCTCCTTTCCTCCGTTCACTCATTCTAACTCACATGAGGCTGAACCATTTCCAATAAAAACGTCACGGCCACTTCATGAGTTAACAGTTGTTAGCAAAAACTATGCAAGATTACAGCACAGTAATCCTTCATTCAGATGTGATTGTGATATAAAATTGCATGTTTATAGGTAGAATGAATATTGATTACATCATTGTAGGCAGTATGATGTAAACCTGGCTGTGTCATTCTTGGCCATTACAAAACTATAAAAACAATTGTAAATCTTAACAACACCCATGAGATGGCTGATCAAACCATTTCAGATTCCATAAGTGAAACCAGACATTGTATGATGAAGCCTTTCAACTGAATGTTATATACATATATATATAAAATTAAAGTAACCAATATATTTAGTTGTTTCAAGTTATTGTTTTGTTATACATACACAGATTATTTTAATCAACTCTGTTGCACACTGGTAATGATAAAAGCCTTCGTCTTTAAATCCATTGTTTTTCAGGGCTTTTGTCTGTTCTTAATCTGATGTAACAAACCTGTAAGATGTGATATGAGGAGAAGCTTTCAATACTACAGTGGATTCTTGCATATTTGACATTATTTCAACATCCTTAAATAAAAATAACAACACTACCGGTCCATCAAGATCACGAACAAACAGGATAAAATCACACCATCTGAAACAGTATACCACAAACTACGTTATGCGTTTAAAAAGTCAACGTTTCACATTTACAAACCCCTCCACGTGCTGTGATGCGACGCTCCACACTGATGATGTCATGTCTTCAGTGACGCATCTGGGTGGCCATTTTATCAGTTTAGGGGGTCGGAGCGGCAACTGGATGCATTAGTCCACGCGTTCTTTATTTTTTATTACTTTACATTGCGTGTTTTAATCACAATCGGTAGATAATCAAGTATAGTCGATGAGTAGGTGTTTGCACACGGTGACAATTGGCGGGAACAGGGTGCGACGCTACGAGCCATACATTTCTATCGTGCGCGCGGTTAGCAAGTAGCTTAGCTGAGCTAGTGGCACACCGCATTATTTGACGACAGTCGCTCGTAAACAATAGACATCAGACTTGTTGCCAACTGATTTGTGGTTGTGTTTACTTCTGAGGTCTTTCCGGTGTACTAGTTTCGGTTTCAGCCCCGTTTGTTGTCTTATAGCTGAATTATTGATCTGCTCTGAAGCTGTTAGCACAGCTCGCGCTCTCAGTGTAAGGTTAAACATGACGGAGTGTTACATTCGCGTCGCGGAGGACGAGAACGAGGAGCCGATGGAGATCCCGTCCGAGGAGGACGGCACCGTGCTGCTCTCCACCGTCTCCGCGCAGTTTCCCGGTGCCTGCGGCCTTAGATACCGTAGCCCCGTGTCTCAGTGCATGAGAGGGGTCCGACTAGTAGAGGGGGTTCTTCATGCACCCGAATCAGACTGGGGCAATCTGGTGTATGTGGTCAATTATCCAAAAGGTAAGCTCAGATATGGTAGTGTTGTGTTTGTTTGATTGCAGTAACATCAAATAATTTGGGACTTGTTGAGGCACAGAAAATATGGTCTGATGTCATTCACACACTTATTCCACTACTAATGCATACTGTGAATGTAAATTCAATCTAGTTGATTGTCTTTAAATAAATCAACCATAATAATAAAATATCATACATTTTCAGATAACAAGAGGAAGATGGATGAAATGGATGCTGCATCAGCTGTGAAGATCAAGAGAGGTGTGCAGAAGACATCAGATTTGATTGTGCTTGGGTTGCCATGGAAAACAACAGAGCAAGACCTTAAAGATTACTTCGGCACTTTTGGAGAGGTGATCATGGTGCAGGTTAGTATGAACAAACCTAAAGGGACAGTTCACCCCAAACATAAAAATTAATTACTTGCTCTCATGTGGTTCCAAACCTGTATATGATGGGTTTTCATCTGTGGAGCATAAAGGATTTGTTTTGAACAATGTTTAGGTTGCTCTCTTTCATTCATTGTAAGTGGATGGGGGCTGCCAAGGGCTTTTTAGGCTGTCAACCTACAAAAATGGGGGGGAAGCATGGCAGTAGGCAATAATAACTTTTCTGCAATATTATGTCTTCTGAAACTACAATAGCTTTGTATGGGAAAACAGGCTGGAATTTTAAATCTATATTTATGTAAAATCCTACCTAACCCTCTGATGTTTTCAGTAATTTTAGGGGGGGAAAAAACAAAAAAAAATTTTTTTACTTTATTGGAATGGTACAAATCTAGGTGACTTTTGTGGCACTTGCTAAATACACAGAAAATTGTGGAGATGATTAGAAAAGGCTATAGGGAGAAAAAAAAATAGAGCTTTTTTTTTTTCCTGGTACAAATCTTCCACAATGAAGTAGTGTTCGATAATTCACTTTTGTTGTATGGAAATGAGCAGCTCAGAATTCTGCTTTAAACAACTTCTTTGGGGTTAGAAAGAAAAGTCGTACATGTTTTTTTTAAAAAGTAGAGTAAATAATGATAGAATTCTCAGTTTTGGGTTAACTATTAATGTCATGTATGACCTGTTCCCTCAGGTGAAAAGAGATGCAAAAACCGGAAATTCCAAAGGATTTGGCTTTGTAAGATTTACAGACTACGAAACACAAATAAAAGCCATGTCCCAGCGGCATATGATTGATGGAAGATGGTGCGACTGCAAACTTCCCAACTCAAAGGTATTTCCATGTAATACCACACATAGTTCACATTTTCATATACAAGTTATACTTGCGCTTATAGATTAGTAAAGGTTTTAAATTCGAACATATAAGTTGTTTCAAATGTTTTGTGATGCCCTTACCGTTGTGAACATTGCATGAGTAGACCCTGTTTTCTATTAAATGATCTAGTATTTCCTGGAACAGGCTGGTCCGGATGAGCCTATGAGAAGCAGGAAAGTATTTGTGGGCCGCTGCACTGAGGACATGACAACCGATGAGCTTAGACAGTTTTTTATGCAGTACGGCGAAGTCACAGATGTGTTCATTCCCAAACCTTTCCGAGCCTTTGCCTTCGTCACCTTTGCCGACGATCAGGTCGGTCTTCTGTATTTTTCGTTCTCGTTATTTGGCTTACTCTCATTCTCTTCTCAAATTAACGCATGGTTGTTTTCCTCCAGGTTGCCCAGTCTCTGTGCGGTGAGGACCTGATCATTAAAGGAACCAGCGTGCACATCTCCAACGCTGAGCCTAAGCACAATAATAGTAGGCAAATGATGGATCGTGGGCGGTTCGGGGGGTTTGGGGGGCAGGGCTTTGGCAGTAGTCGCAGTCCCAACAGCAATGTGAATTTTGGGGCCCTTAGCTTGAATCCAGCCATGATGGCAGCTGCTCAGGCAGCCCTTCAGAGTAGCTGGGGCATGATGGGAATGCTGGCCAATCAGCAGAATCAGACAGCCGCTACCGGCACAACCCCTAGCGGGCAGAACAGCGGTAGTAGAGATCAGAACCAGAGTTACAACACAAGCAGCAATAACTACAACACCGGCAGCTCAGCTAGTCTTGGGTGGGGGGCGGGAACCAATTCAGGCTCGAGCAGTGGGTTCAACGCCGGTTTTGGATCTAGCATGGAGACAAAGTCCAGCTGGGGGATGTAGAGAGATTTCAATTGGGTCTCGAAGTATCCTAATATCTAGATTTTATGGTAAGTATTTTGAGAGAAGAAAGTTTAGTCAGATATTATGTCCCTTCAATATCTGCCTTTGATTTTGTAAAACTGAATGTTCTTCGTATACATATAATGATTGCTCATATAATGAGTGGTTGAAATTGTTAGGAATGAAATGAAGTTTTTTTTCCCTTATGGATATAGTTTATTTAGTGTCAGGCATTATTTCAGTATGCCCACATATCTGAGCATCTGTTACCATTTCAGTGCCCTCTCAACATGCAGTACATTTAAAGATGCTCCATGTGGAAAGCCATTTGAGTTGTGTTTTCTGCCATTTTTTTCCCTCAACGTTTTTTATGGTCAAGCCTTCATAAATCTCTTCTACAGTTCATCACCTCTTTTCCAATTTGCCGGGAAGAAGCCCCTCGTTGGCCGCAATGTTCGAGCGATCTCAGTATCAGTTCCCTTCTTCCCATGTGTAAATGCTTTGCCATGAAAGAGCACAGCTTCACTCTGCATATACTGTGTTAGACGGTGGGTGGTCTTTTTTTTCCCCTTTTCATGGATGAAATCTGTCCGCTTTTTTGAGAGCTGAGAGTGATATGGTGATGGATTGTTGGTGCGCCAGGAGTGAGAGACTGAATGAGCGAACGCGCTGAGAGAGAGAGAGAACTTGAACGCAAGTGTGCGATGCCGAAAAGCGACATGCTGACTGTGAGAAGAACCTGTGTGAGCGAGTGTGAACGAAGGCAGCGAGTGTTTTTTTTTTTCTGTAGGACCATCAGAAGGACATTCATTTACATTCTTCCGTCCCTCTTGTTCTGTCTACCTTCCTCCCTTTCTTATATTGCAATCATATATAAAGAGCTGCATTTAAAAAAAAAAAAAAAATGTAGTGGAATGTTTAAGTGATCTACTAACTATTTGTGTTCTTGCTTAATAATTTGACGTGAATGCTGTGTATGGTGTGTGTTCTATCTCGCTGTTACTGAACTCGTGTGTGTGAACGTGATGTGATGCTGTCTGTGGGCAGGGCTCTGGGAGTGGGCGGTGAATGAGGGCGAGCGTGAGCTCTGAGTGGCTTAACTGGGGTGATGTATTGATGATGAAAGCGAAGAATGCTTCAAGAAGAGGTTGCTTTTGTTCTGTGTTTTGAATGCTTTTTATATGTTTTGTGAATCTAAGGGAACTCAAATAAAAAAATAATTTGACTAGTTATTTTGATAGTGGCTTATTTTCTTCAAGACATTAATTGAATTGCAAACACTTATTTAATTCGCATGTATAGGGACGTTGGACTCGGCTGGCCCAGGTTTACCTCAGAACCCTGAGTGAAGTCACTAATGGGAGAGCTGAAGACTGAAGTTCACACAGTCCATCTGTGGAGACTGCTGCTGTATGCCTTTAACCTGAAAAGGGACTACGTCACTTCACTGTAACCAGATTTCCCTGGATTTCCCTTTTTGAAATTTCAATGGACGATTCCCAAGTGGCCGGAGTGCATGACTAAAGACAGTCCATGGCAATCTAAAAGCAGAGTTAAACCAGTGTGTTTGTGGATCAGTCCCATTGCGAATGACTTCATGTCCATGCTCGTGTATTTCCAGCTCTGTTTTACGCAAGACGTCAATGCGGTCATTGATCTTGCTTTTAAGTCTTTCTTCTGTTTGATTGATTTTACATGATCTATCCCACTGTAAATATAGTTTAGTGAAAGCTGAAAAGGCCTATTTTTCATACACTGTCCTGTTGTGGGTAAACATAGGATTTTGTGAATGGGGTTTGTGTTATCAATGACTTGAATCACTGGCAGGATTTCCATTTTTCAAAATACTTAATAAACATACACAGCGGAACTGTATCTGTTTTTATTTTTACCTGAAAGGTTGTGTAATTGTACAACAATGTCGGTGATTTAAAGTGTAAAAAACAGGCACTGAATTTAACCTACTGGTTTAGTATATTGCAAAGTACTAGTTTTTAGTATAACACAAACATACTATGTAGTAGTTTTGCTGTTTGGCTTGTTTGTGAAATATATCAGTATAACATGCAGAACTGCAGATAGTTTTACCTTAAAGTAAATAACTGCTGAATATAATATTAAAGAGTGAATTTTCTTACTAAACTTGAACAATTTAATAATAAACTTTAAAGTCCTAGTTTATTGGACATCTAGTGTTGCTGAAGTTTAACATGTAATGTAATTTTTTTTTTTCTCTTAAGTCCTTCAGTAAACGTATTATTTTGAGTTATAAAGCTGAACTAAATGAAAGCCATTTTCGGTGGGACTACTGTCCTGGGCGGATGAATATTTTGTCATACAGGTAAGTACTATGACTGTTACCAGTGCACTCACCTGGGGCCTCATTTATAAAGCGCGCGTACGCTCAGATTTGATCTTAAGAGAGTGTGTATGCTTAAATCCATATTTGTCAAAACTGTCTGACGTGGAAAAGTGCTTAGCATCACGTCAGGGTCTGAGCAGACGTACGCACTTTTTCTTGTTCGAGTATTGCAGGTTTTTGGAAATGTAAGCTGTGCTCGCAGCTCGCTGTTCTAAATTAAAGAATTTGGATGATGACTGGTGATCTTTTACATGTTAATGACATTAATTAGGAGTCGTTTACAAGCAGAGAGCTGAAACCATTCATTTGCCCGCAAGTTCAAGATCATTTGCGATTCATAGTTTTCACATCTGAAAGAGACACGTACGTGCGTTTTCTGTACGTACGTTCATTTTATGAATCACCCGTATGCATATTTGAGAGATGATCGTAAGATCAATTTTAAGATGGTTTCTGCACAACGTTTTATAAATGAGGCCCCTGATGACAGGTGAAGACGACGTATCAGACGGCTGGCTTTCGGATAATTAGAAATCGAAATATGGAAGACAATTTTGTTTTCCTTCGGATTAAAATTAACAGATTGGCAAACCCTCCGTTCCAAGAAACGGAGTCAGATCACCTGCCCGGAGTCGGACGTGCTTAAGTTACCTGGGCCTCATTTATAAAATACTGTGTAGAAAGAATCCTAAATTTGATTTTACGATCATTTCTCAAAGTGCGTACGTGTGATTCATAGAACGAACGTACGCACAGAAAACGTGCGTACGCCTCTCTTTTAGATGTGAAATCTATAAATTGCAATGATCTTGAAATTGTGCGCAACTGAACAGTTTCAGATCTCCACCCTGTAAACAATGTCTAATTAATTTCCTTGACTTATAAAAGAGCACCTGACAATGTCCAAATCTTTTACAAGCGGCAAGAATGGCTTATATTTCCAAAAACCTGCAGCACTCGGGCAAACAAAAGTGCGTACGTCTGCTCAGACCCTGACGTGGCGCTAAGCTCTTTTCCACGTCAAAGACCGTTTTTATAAATATGAACATTGCCGTGGATTTTTGCGTACGCACACTCTACGATCAAATCTGTGCGTACGCACGTTTTATAAATGAGGCCCCTGGACTACTTGCATTAACTGCGTCATGACAACGAAGTTGGTTATCCTTTTTCTTAAAGTCACCATGAAATCAAAATTGAAAATTTTTATTTTTTTAATGGAATACTGTAGTGTTTATTATAAATAATTTCTCTGTCTCTCGCACGCTGTTTAGGCATGTTTTGTGCCATTGATCGTCGTCGTCGTCATCCTTAATAAATAAAACATTTATTCATGCTTGGGTGTCGGCTGTGAATCCAGTGGAGAGAAACCCCCCACCACTAACTGCAAACTGGCATTCAGTTCTTCCTCCATTTTGTTTGGAACGCCCCAGCTTCCAACGATCCAATCAACTACCGAAGGACGAAATCAAGTCCCGCCCTCTCATTTCAGATGCCGTTTCACTGGGATATGTCACAGCAGAGAAGAAAAGACAATCGCAACTTCGTTTCATGCCGACTTTAAAGTGGTCATATGACCTTGCTAAAAAGAACATTTTGTGTATTTGGTGTAATGCAATGTGTTTATGCGGTTTAAGGTTAAAAAAACATTATTTTCCACATACTGTACATTGTTGTAAATACAACTTAACCACTGATTTCTAGTTGTGTCCTCTTTTGGAAGGGCAAACAAAGTAGTTTCGCTTTTGCAATGAAACACAGCGTCTCCACGACATGGCGGGTGTTGTTTGGATGCCGATTTTGGAAAGTTTTTGCTGGGATGGGCATTTAAAAAAATCTGAAATTCGCTTTTGCGCCATTATCTCCTTGTATTACAGTTAATCTTGTTCGCATTCTGTATAGTTCATGTCTGATACCACGCGCCAGCGTCACGTGTTCATGAGGATTAGGCTAATCATCCCATATAGAAAACATCACAAGTAAAATTAATCATGTTTATAAAGATAAACATGGGTTTATTATAGCCCACTTATGAGCAGCATTAGTAAACTGTGTAAATATAAAGAAATGCCAAATCACATGCAGGTTTTTTCAGACCGGAGACCATAATCGTGTAATAATTTATTTTATTATGATATGAAACGTCCAATTTTTCTTTCAATAATGTTTTTTTAAAGTTTTTTTTAAAGAATTTCGTGATAAACATTTTATTAGTTCTCATCATAGCAAGTGATTTTACTTAATCATTTATAATTGATATATAATTATTCATGAAGGCTGGAATGTGAAAAATGTCTTCAGGTGAATTCAGGTGTGCATAATTATTAAGCAGATTTTCTTTTACAGATAAAATGAGCCCAAAAAGAGATTTAACTCAGACTGAAAGTAAACAAAACGTATTTTAAATGCAAAATTGATTTCCGTGCGCTCGAAAGACTTTTTTCTTTGCGAAACGAACATTTTTTGCACAAAACTCAGATCGCGCGCGTGCAAAATGCACTTTTGTGCGCTCAAAATATGATCTTTCGCGCGCAGAATTGTGGCAGAAATGTAAGCCCATATGCTTCAAGTCGAACGCACCTAATGTCACATCTGGAAGAGAGGCGTACTCACGTGTTTTTGTGCGCACGTTCGTTTTCTCTGAATCGCACTTACGCACTTTTGAGAAATTATTTTAGAACAAATTTAGGACGGTTTATACGCAACATTTTATAAATGAGGCCCCAGATGACCCCTTTAAGTCTGATATTAACATAATATTTGCCAGCAAAACGAAAACCCAGAGAATTCATTTAAAGCCACACGCCCTGTCTAAAGCAACTGTTTGTTTTCTTTTGACATATATCTATAAAAAATACTACATACCTGCCAGATGATTTCTTCGTAAGCTAGGTTTTTGTGACTGGGTTATCAGAGGCCACATCTGCTAACAAGTAGTTCTGTTTCATTCCTCCCTTGCCTTTCCGTTAGGTGGTGCCAAATAATGACTACATTTTATTACCAGAAGCTTCCAATAGTCCCTTGTCTTTCCGTTAGGTGGTGCCAAACCTTCACTTAATAATGACTATATACTTCACACTGACGGTTGTTTTGTACGCAAAGGTATAATGACTTAGCATAGAAGTGTCATTTGTAATTTTAAAGGTTACAGAAGTTACAGGACTGACACGAAGGGATCTGTAGAACATTTATTACAGTATTTTGGGCTTGGATGTCAAACAGTAGAAAGTGTACATGCAAAAGACCACTGTATTGTTTTGTTTTTACCTCAAACAATAAGCCGTTTCATTCTTTTAACACTCCTTAAATACAGTACAGGAACAGCAGAAGCCAAGAGATGCATATTGATTTCAATAACAATGTATGATTAGATTGGCAAACTGTAAAGGCAGGACTGTAGATTTCAACAGACTCATCTGTGTCTGTTCTGTTTTCCAGTTTTAACACGAGGAGAAGCTCTTCCAGAAGAAGAGCTTGCATGGAGATTTAGGGGTTGGTTCATAAACAGACTTTTCTCCCAGTTTGCCATTCAGAAATTCAGGGTCAAGGTCAGCTAGTTCTTTACTAGTGAAGTTCAGCTCAGCCATATCCGTCATCATCTTCTTCAACAAGTCCTTCTGGTCTTTGGTCAGTATCTAGAAGATGAGATATATCCGTGGGCTTGAGTATTAGATCACTGCTATTGATTTTTACAGCATTAACAGTATAACAACACTGCAGTACATTTATTCTTAGCCAGTGACAAAGATCTTAGGAAATAGGCTACTAGCAAATATGAGCCCATGTACTTGTTTTTTCTTAAAAACACTGAATAAGAGATTCACCTCATTGGTGTGTAATTGCTTGTCTTGTACAGGTAACGCTTCACCATTCCAGACCACAAGGACCAGAGGAAACAGGCTCAGCATCATCCGCATTATGAACATGCTTCTCTCAGCCGCTGTACGATTGTCCCATCTAACTCCCATCGTCATGTTTTAGAGAGGTACCTTCACAAAAGATACTGATGCCGTGCAGGGGAAGAAAGCATTAGAAAATGACCTTATTTAGGTTATTGTTCAAATTTTTTTAACTATTTTATCTTACTTTGAGGACATCCTTTCATGCACAATTTTTTTTGTAAGGGAACATTAAAATATCCTTAACAGATGTACAGTAATTCATTTTAAAATTCCTGTATGGAATTGATGCTATTTAAACAAAAACAATCCCCACATGCTCTGAAAGGCACCTTAAGGTCACCTTAACACAACCGTAATCATGCATAAAAAGGAAACATGCTTTATTATATACATACTTTAGCTTTTAAAGGAAGTGTTGATCTTTGGTATTTGTCGGTTCAAACTGCAGCATCTCTGTTTGTGTCAGACTTAATCTGTAGCCAGACTCCTCCCTGGCTGATTCATAATTAATCAGCAGACTGCTCGAAATAGGGTGTCCACTTCCTGTCCTGGCTCTCCATGCGCTGAATTGCCTTGTTCACCATGATGACTCAGCATCATTCGCCTATACGACTCCTTCACTATAATATTCTAAACTGCCTAGTTCTAGTGTGTCCTCTATTTGAAGTGGCTTTGAATCACTGAGATGTTCTTTTTCCGAGTAATCAGGCCATGGACATATATTTAAACCCACCATTTCAAACAGTTGCTTCATAGTCAGTAGCATAAACAGCATATTCTACCTAAAATTTATTTAGTAGAACATTAAGGTACAGATTAACACTCATCTCTGGAGTCCTTGTAGCATTTTAAGGTCATCTTACCCCAGTTACTCTGTTGGGTGGACCATTTGAAAAACTTCACATGGAAGTGACATCATTAGTCACACATATATGAGAGGCACCTGCTGCTCTCTTCAGCTCTTTGATCTTTAAACAGGTTGGAGGTGAATTAGGGATATTAGTGCAGCGTGAAATCCTATTTTTACAGCCATTTTTCCCTGCTTTATGTTTGGTTCAACACTAAATGTACCTTACATATCAGAAAGCATCATAATAAAAATTTATTTTCTATATTTGTGCCACATAACTGTTAAGATTTCACATGAACAAGGCACTTGCCAGTACCTGCCAGCATCATTTGCTGTAATGTAAACCTGAACGGTGTTATTATTTGCAAGTAAAATTAAGTTTGTTTGTTTTTTAAATAAAATTTAACGTAAATGGGAGCTACTAAAACTAAACCAAAATAAATATCCATGACTCCAAAACTAACTAAAATAAAGTAAAATGGACGCAAATTAGTTTTTGTTGTAGATATATGAATGATTAATATATTATAAAACCTTTACAAACCACCTGCAGTGAACATGAACAGCAACAACACTAGACTGTGCCGAGAAACTGGTAAATGTTTTTAAATGCAACTTTGGCAGCCCTAAAACTAAAATAAAAACTAAATATTCTTGATAAGAGAAATAAAAACTACATTAAAATTCAAATCTATAATTAACTGTGTTTACTTTACTGGGATGTTTATTTGAGTATATTACTCAAGTGTCAAGATACTTACATAGTACTACTCATAAAAATTCAGTTTTTATATGTTATATGTGTGTTGTTATTATTTCATCCTCAAAGAATAATCATTCAGCTGAAGATATTACTATTGTAAACAATCTCATTGTTCCAAAAAATCCTTTCTGACCTCTCCTGGTGACAAATTAGAAGTACATACAAATAAACAAGTTGCATATCTAGCATTTACTGTTAAAAATAAGCATGAGTAAATCCTGTTTGCAGTAGACAGCATGTGAGTGAAGAAGACAAAAGCTAATTAAAAAGGGATTGAAATCTTTATTTAGCCTAATGCAGTGCAATAGTTGCCCATAATCCAGGGTTAACTCTGTGAACTCTGGGGGCAAAGCATGACCGGTCTACAGCAAGAAGAATCTCAGAAACAACACTCTTACTCAAAACTGCTGTGTTTGCAACAGTGGACCTTAAAACTACAAGAACAGAGCTTACAAATAGTGTATACACTATGTTTTAGTATAAATAGAAATATGCATTTGAACACTCTTCAGTAAGAGCTCTACTGTGAGCTGAAGTTCAATTCTTCAGGAGGAATGTGCTCAGCTGCTCTGGTCCTTCATCAAGAGGAGAAGTTCTTTGCTGTTTAACCTGATACCACTCTTGATTTTAGGCATTGTAGGATGATGACGACACGTTTCCTCCATGGCCTGTCCAGTTAGTGTGAATGAACTTTCCAGGGTTTGATAGCAGCTCATACGTGTGGGCACCAAAGTAGTCCCTCTGTGCCTGAAGAATGTCACAATATTATAGGTGATATTAGCTCAGCCAATAGTAAATACAAAGAGAGAACAACTACTTGAGCATTAAAATAAAAGAAGGGACTCATAAAGTGTCTGAAGCAAAAGTACTAATTCTTATTCAAACCAAAAAGACAAAAAGTAATTATTTATTCTAATTTAATTAAAGTAAATGAACAAAAATCATACTAAAGTCTTCAAATGCCTACAACCATAAATGTCCAGATGTAATCCCTGTGATATAGCATAGGGTTAGTTAGAGAGAGAAGGTTTGTGTGTTCTAGAGAGGTTTACCTGCAGCAGGTTTGCTGGGAGCATCTCATGCCTGTAACCGTCATAGAAGGACAGGGCAGTGGTGAAGCACGGCATGGGGATCCCCTGCTGCACACCTGTACTTACTACCCTACGCCATGATTCCTGCAAAACACAACCCACTTACTGCTAAAGAAAACATATTCTATATATGCTGTATTAATACCAATCAACTTTTAGGTCACACTTTATTTTAAGGTCCAATTCTCGTTATTATTAAACCATTAACTACTACATTAAACTCCTAATTTGCTGCTTATTAATAGTTAGTAAGGTAGTTGTTCAATTTAGGTATTAGATAGGATTAGGGATGTAGAATATGGTCATGCAGAATATGTGCTTAATAAGTACTAATAAACAGCCAATATGTTAATAATAGGCATGCTAATAAGCAACTAATTAATAGAGTGAATTGGTCCCTATTCTAAAGTGTTACCGACATTATATCAGTTTTTAACGTAAACCACTGTTCCTACATAATTTCCATTTCAAAATTACATGTTTTTCCAAACTGGATTTTCAGACCATATTTGACATCTGATAAATTACTTTAAAATCCAACTGTTCATTTATGTTACTTTCTGACTATGTATGCTATTATGTTGTCAAATATTTGCTGGAATATTGTAGCTAAACACTGTAGCTCATACAAATCAATTACCACCAATGCATTTACATTTACATTACATTACATTTACATTGTCATTTACTTACAAATAAGGACAATGGAAGCAATCAAAATCAACAAAAGAGCAATGATACGCAAGTGCTATAACAAGTCTCAGCTTAACGCAGTACACGTAGCAAGGTTTTTTTTTGGTAATTATATAATAAATAAGAAAAGAAATAGATAGAATACAAAAAGAATAGAGAAGCTAGTGTTAATGAATTTAGGTAAATGGGTGCAGAGCCAGTGGTGGTTTTGTAGGCAAACATTAGTGCCTTGAATTTTATGCGAGCAGCTACTGGTAGCCAGTGCAAATTGATGAACAGAGGTGTGACGTGCATTCTTTTCGGCTCATTAAGAATTATGCTGCCGTGTTCTGGATTAATTGTAACGGTTTATGTGCAAGCATTTTATGAAAAACTTCAGTGCTAAACTACATGATTACGTTTGATACACTTTCATTGACTGCATAGATCTTAATTTAAATTCATATTATAAAATATTATGAAATAAAATGAAATTGTCACTGATTAAATGATATTTTATCCATAAATGCTATTTGCTATAGTAGAAATTCCAAATTTTTCATAATCTTGGTAAAATAGGTTGTATTGTATATGACTTTGCTGTAGTAATTGCATGCAGTATCAAAATGAATATATTGTATGCTTATACTATGTAAAATAAATTATGTTTGGACTGTGTTCACTGTGTATATATTTGGAAGGAACTAAGTGGACATAGTTTTTGCACATAACGGTTTAGAGGCACTGTATGCACATAAACAGTCTGCCATTAGTGCCGCTGATTTCTCTTCATATTTAGTGGCACTATTACAGGAAACTTGTGAAATTTGTGGTCATTCTTGGCTCACTTCCTGTACCTGACAATCCTGTACAGCTTTACTGAAGAAGTTATCCAGCAGCAAACTCTGCAGCTCGGAGTTCCGGTCAAACGCTTCCTTGATCTTTCCCAAGAAAACACTGCGAATGAAAGATTCATGACCTTTATTCATAGCTAATCTACAGTTATGATATTGTAAAATCAGCTTCCTCATTTCTGTGCGTGTGGGATTTTTACATGAAACATTATCACCACTTCCTAGTGTTTACAGAGTTGCAACATTCACCGGGTGGAGAAAAGATGAAGTTTCATATGATTTAATTCTTGAGTATTTCAGTAGACAAATGTGTCTTTTGAACATTAAAGCATGTCAATATATATTCTGTTACACCAAATACACAAAATAATGATCTTTAAAATAGCATCATATGACCCCTTTAACTGATAAGCAATCTGAATAAAGCATATCGTTTTATGCAATATTTTTAAATCACTGTGAGCAAAGCTTGCTTACCTGCGAATAATGCAGCCTCCTCTCCACATCAGGGCAATAGCACCATAGTTAAGAGACCAGCCGAACTCTACTGCAGCCTGTCTGAGCAGCATGAAGCCTTGAGCATATGAAATAATCTTTGAGGCATACAAAGCCTGAAAAAGAAATAATACATTTTCATGAAGTTAAAAACAACCCATTATTATTAAACCCAATAATGCTTAACATTAACTGGCACATTCAAACATGAACAAAACCTATGCATGGATATAGTGCTGCAAAACGATTAATCGCGAATAAAATCGCATTCAAAATAAAAGTTTATATTTACATTCTATATGTGTGTGTACTGTGTATATGTATATATAAATACACACATACATGTATATATTATTCTGTGTTTTTCTGTCAATATGGGGTGCTGTGTGTACATTAATGAGGAAAAAAAATTAACTTAAATGATTTTAGCAAATGGCTGCAATATAACAAAGAGTGAAAAATTTAAGGGGGTCTGAATACTTTCCGTACCCACTGTACAAATATATATTTTTTAAACATATACATACGTGTGTGTGTATTTATATTTACATAATAAATATACACAGTACACACACATAGCATGTAAAAAACTTTTATTATGAATGCGATTAATCGTTTTGCAGCCCTACATGGATATCAACTATCCATATTTTACTAAGTCTATCCCACCTTTCTAATATCTTCGAGAAACTGTGCCTTGTTTCCGGTGAACTTGACACCCTGGGGGCCGGTGAGGCTCTT